GCAGTTGTTTGAATTTTTGGCTGTGGAACTCTTAGACAGGGAGGGCCTATGATGCTTTCACTTTCTCCTGCCCCAAATTTGGGCACAAGGGCAAAGGTGTGCTCAGTCAGAAGAAGGCTGCTAATGATTGCTCTAGAGCAGTACTGTCCAATAGAACGTTCTGTAAAGATGGAAATGTTCTGTATCTGTGCTTTTCGGATACTAGGTGTGTGGAGCTATTGTGTACTTAATGTGACTAGTTTAGCTGAGGAATTGAACTTTTAATTTTATTGAAATCTAACTAATTTATATGTAAATTTCAATAGCACACACAGAGAGAGTGGAGGGTAGTCATAGGTAGTGTTCCCAGCAGATAGAAGGAGCCTTGCCCCAGGGCTGAATTGAAGGTGGATTTTTTGCTACCATCAATGTATTTTCTTGAACTCCTAGACTTGCAGGGGCCAAAACCTCACTGCTAGGTTGGGGATCAGTGGTATCACTGAGGCCAAGGGCTGGCTGGCTGAACACTTGGCCAGTCCTGGCATGGGCACACGGAGCTGGCTGGTACAGGTTGGGAAGGACAGGCTACCTACCACCCCCACTCAGCTTTGGTCCGTTGCTCTGTGCACTCCATGTGGGGAGAGTTTCATTCTCAGCTGCCTTCAGACTGAAGGGAAGCCAACCCAATTGGCATTCTCTACTCCCAAGGAGGTAACAGTTTACTCTGAGAGATAAGATTCTCATCTAGTGGACCACTCCTTCCAACATCACCTGCTCTGCCTGGTATTCCACCTCTGCCTTCCCTTCGGCTTCCTGTGTTCTAGAATTTATCACTTTGGCAACTGAACATTTACTTGTCTACCTTCTGTCTTAAACCACAGGCTCCATGAAGGCAAGGCACCATGCTGTCTCCCTGGCATGATGCTTCAAACTCAGTGAAACACCAATCTGTTTGGAAGTGATAATAAGGGCAACAGGAGTTGAGAGAAGAAAGAGGTTAACATTCCCTGAAGTTGTTCATAGACAATATGGAATTCAAACTGGACCTTGAAGATGAGCAAGATGGAGTTGCTCCAGGAGCTGCGTGATGACTTCCAGAGGAGTAACCTCATAAGAAGGAAGGACAGAGTCACTGCGCAGCAGAGGGGACAGATGAACCAGAAGAGTGGGCTGGGAAAACAGGAGAGGATTGGCAGGGTGGGCTCTGCAGGGCCTTCTTGACGTGGCTGGCAAGACCTCATGAAGCAGAGCACCCTGGGTTTCTAAGCCTGGTAACATCAATAAGTCTGGCCAGGACTTCAGTTTCTTTAGGACTCTGTTCTGCCCCTGTGCCCTGAGAGACTCTACTGCTCTACCCTCTAGGTGGGCATGTGAACCAGACCCAGCCAGTAAGGATCTTAGGAAGAGCTCCAGGGGTACGACTAGGCACCTTGACTGGGCTGTCGTTGTCTTTTACTACGATTGCTGAGTGAGTGAGCTACAAGTCTGGAATGCTGTCAGTGTCCCATTGTTTCAGGGAGTGAGTCTGAGAATTTGAATTAAATCAGCACAGAGGAAAGCGGAGTCAAGGGATGACAGGGACTTTGGAAGACATCAGCTGCATCTGGATCCAGCTATGCTTGAACTGAGACCGACTTTTGGGCTCTGCAGTTATTGATCAGGCAGTTACAGTGAGATTCCTGTCACTTCCAACCAGGGGAGCCCTGATGAATGGCTACACAGAAGCAGGTGAGGAGCTGAGAGTAGAAGGGTGTCAGAGTCAATGAACATGCCGGTGGGGATGGAAGGATTTCAGACATGAGGCATTGAGAGTCTGAGCCCAGGGGCTAGGGAATAGAGAGGAAAGGAGGTGAGGTAAGAGCTGAGAAGGAACTGCCCAATTCCTTCTCTAGCAATCTCTCTTTGAAGGTTGCTGTCTGGTATTCCAATGATTCCTTACTGCATTCTTCTTTATTTGTTTGCTTTTGAGATAGGGTGTCCTGATGTAGCCCAGGCCTGACCTTGAATTTGTGATCCTCTTTCCTCAGTCTCCCAACTGCTGAGATTACAGGTGAGATTACACCACACCTGGCTTGCATCGGATATTCTTATCCCATTTTATAGCCTAGAAAGGTTAAAGGACTTGCTGGCAGTCACATGAGAACTCTGGGATCTAGCTCTGATTCCTCAGCTCAAGCAGATGGGCTCTTGCTTGCATAGAGTATGTGTTGAGGTCACAAGGTACCATCTTTCTGTAACTTAGGGTAGACATGCATTCCCCCGCCCCCCTCCCCCACCACGAGCTTAATGATCTGAAGAAACAGTGGGAGTTCTCACTGAGGAAAGGTCTGGGAGCCCACAGCCTTCTTCATTAAAATAAATTTTGCCCGAGTCTACTGATTCTAAATAGAAGAAAATGTAGATTTGGGGCAGAACCGAAGGGAAAGGGATTTCCCTTGGCAAATTATTTGCAATTTGTGGATTGGAGCTGACCCAGCTCCAATTCCCTCTGTCATTGTCAGCACTGTCTAAAATGTGACCAGCTTATTAAAGAACAAGAGCTGGAGGGAGTCCTCCCACAGGACTGCGACAAAACAAGAACAGAGCCAAACCCACCTACATCCTCCTCCCAGGGCCTCAGTTCACCCCCTGGTTACACTTTACTCCCAGGCAGTCACTTCCTGTGAGCCAGTTTACAGTTCGCTTGTGTCCTTCCTTAGGCAGGATGTCCTAAGTACTTATCTGAGTGGAGATCCCACCGTAGCATGCAACAGAATGTATGTTCTTAAGTTACTGCCAGAGAAACTGAGCTAGTCTTTCTTTTTAAGAAGCATCCCAGATGGTTCTGAAGCAGGCAGCCTATGGACCCGTCTGAGAAACAGTCATGTACATAGAATATTAGTGCACGAACTCCACCAAGGGGCCTCCTCCGTGGTTTAAGGACACTGCTGCCATTGCTTACAAGCCCTGGGAAATTCCATGTTTTCCTCTTTACTAGTGAGGTGTCTGACTCACTGGCTATAATTTAAAGAATATTCAAAAGGCTTTCTTGTTAAGAAGTTGTTCAAGGAACTGCTGAATCTAGAGTTCTAAGGATCTATCTTCTCTAGTACTCCTTTTAAATCATGAACAGCTTATAGAGTATAGCACTTTCTGTATGCAAAGAAAAAAAATTGCAAAGAAATATCTACAGTGGCAGGACCACAGCAAGATGAAGAGTCCATAGAGCCCATCGTCTGTCTGCATGGTCAGCCTGCCAGGGCCTTGGACTCCTACCTCCCACCTTTTATTGTCCCCGTAGGCTATACCTGAGATGTAGAGACCAAGGGAGAAAGACTTTTAAAGAGTCTCAGGTGAGTCTTTCCTTCCTTAGGACTTTGATCAACAAAATGCTACAGAAAAACAATGGATTCCTATCTTCCCACCCATCTGTATCATCAGATCCCTCTCAAATTAGCCATGGAACCCAAGGCTGGTCCACAGGCCTTCACAATGAAATTGACTCTGTGTGAAATGAGTGTGAAAATTCCATTTATTAAAACAAATACATTGTCCATATGGGATGAAGATGTGCACATCACATTCAGGTTTTCCTGCTTTAACATTTCTGCCTCTTTTTAAGGACACATTCCATAGATCTTATATAGGAAAAAATGTCAACAATCCTTGGGCTATGAAACAGTAATGTTATGTAACAATTCATCATTGCCAGGAGCAGCTAGAAGCAGATTTGAGGAAAGAAAAACAACTATAAAAATCCCTTAAGACAACATGCTTGATTTTCTCAAAATTCCTTATGTGAATATGAGTATATGGAAAAATGATTTTCTTAAACTTGTCCTTTAAAGTCTTCTGATTTAAATCAAATAGTACTTGCCTTCAAATTAAAAAATAACAAATTTTAGGCTGGAGTTAATACTGAGAATACTACAAGATTGTTTTCTTTATAGAGTTCACATTCTAAATAGGAAGTTTATTGTTACTATTTATTAAGTGGGTCGATGGCAGATCTTCATTATTACCTGATATATTACACAGGTGTATGGAAATTAGGGTCTTAAATAATCAAGGTGAATTTTCCCACTAGTTACCCTTAAGATAAAATTATGCTGGTGAAAATGATTGTTGAATTTCTAAAGGAATTATAGTCTCTTTCAAGGCCTAAGTAATCCAAATATCCCTCTTCCCTTTAATAAATGCAAATACCAATAAGCTAAAGTCATATAAATATTCTGGTATTATAACTCCATATTATAAGGCATGGAATTATGAAAAAGCCAAGCCATTTTCATTAAACTTAATTTCAGATGGGCTGTGTATTTTCTGCCCTCTCATTCCTTTTATAAGCATGGTCACATGCAACTTGGAACTTCTGTAATTTTTAATTGTTAGACCTGTGATAAGGTGCTTCCTAAAAATTTCAGTTCCATTTTAGTTATTCCAAAGATCTAAATTTACACGGGAATATAAAGAATCCTTCTGAGAAAAAGAAATGGTGTGGACAGTGGAGACCATGTGGGCCTCAATGGTGCCCTTGTTACCAGCAGAGCACTCAAGTCACAGTTGCTTTCATGGAGCCACAAACTCATGTGTCAGCTCACTTTAAAAATGTGGTGCAGTTTTAGCCAGCTGCATAGCATTACTAAGCTAACTGTACAATATCATCGTTTAATAAAGGCTCTGCCAGCTTTTTTCCACCACAAATCTTCACTCGCATCCCACTGACTGTAACAAAAGCCCAAGATTTGATTAAAACAGAAGTTTCTGGTCACAGAAGCGCATTCTTCCAATTTACAAATGTCCCAGTATCCCCTTCTCCCCACCTCAGGCTTGAGATTTAATTGGACACATTTATTCCTTCACTGGCATGCCCATAAAGGAACTAAGGAAAATATTTACTAACTCTGTTCCAAAATCTGTCCTTGGCAGAGTAAGTCTTTTTATCTTCTCTTTGCTCTTAGTAACTTAAAAAAAAAAATGGAGGAAGAGAATGGTGAGACAAAAAGGGAGAGTAAAATTAGTTTGGAATTAATGGTATTTTGATATTTGAAAGCAAACAAGATGTAAGAGAGTTTCTTTTTGACTGGGAATGGCACAGGAAAAGTGATAAAGGCTTCCATGGCCTGCCATTACTGATGGAGGCTACAGCTGCAATGAAAAATCGCTCTCAATATCTTATCTCAAAGAGAGAGCTCTAGCTGCAAGGAAGTTGTAAATAAAGACAGACAGACTGACAAACAAGGCAGGGAACAGAAACAAAGATTTTGATGAACAATTTGGTGAGTGAAAAATGAAGAGCATCTCGATGGAAAAAGAGATAGTTGTGTGTGGGGACACACCTGCTGCCCATAGAATGGGCTTTGGGGTCCTTCTCCCAGGAGGGCAAAGAGCTGGCACTGTGAGAATGGGCACCTTCTCTCATGCTATGGGTTTAAGTCTTGAGATACTGGAACAAAGGAGGACCATGGTTTCCTAGTTAGGAGCACAGGAAGCCTTCCTTCAGTCCAGAGTTTCCATGATTGAGGGGAAGAGAGAACCTGCTCATACCCTGTGGCAAAAGCACATCCCCCTGATGGTGTACCCTTCTGTCTCCTGTGTAGGGTGCCTGCACTGCCCTGGGTTCTAGATAAACCAAAATGCTCTGGATTCGGGAAAACATATTGGAGAGATGCTTATGCCACTGTGAACTAGGAGGTATTTTAGGCATGGCTAAGGCTCTGAAGTGATCTCAATTTTCAAAATACTGAGGTTTTTTCTTTTTTTCTTCCCCAGCATCTTTTCTCTTTCATTCCTCTTCTTAGCTTTATAATAAAACAACAAAACTTCTGAATGGATGTAGTATAGGGACATTTTCATGCACTATTACTCAAAAACTGTCACAAAGATATGAAAGCACCAGTCACAACACATGATTTACTTTCACTTGCAGAATCAAAGATATCATGTACAAATGTTAGGAATAGTGATAAGAGAACACAGACAACCGGCAATTTTGTTGTTTTTGTTATTACCATGAGGCTACACCACGGGGAACATCTTTCTAAACATTTTGGGTGTTCATTCATCCTTGAATCCAGTCTTACAGACAAGTTTGGCCTACTCTCCATACTACTTTAACCAGGATGGGTAGAGAGGGGGAGAGAGGGAAGAAAAAAGAAAAAGGCACAAAGACTAAAACATCAAGGCCGTTAAGCCGAACCGTGCTACACTGGACATCTCAGCTTATGCTTATCAGAGGGAATTCTAAAGACAAGATTCATTCCGAGCAGGTCAGACATATCTTAGCTCAGTACAGCTGTCTGTTTTAATGTTTATTTTTTTAAATAGAAAGCAGAAATGTAAGGTCTTGGGGGGATAGCAGAAAGAAGTGACACCAGTTTATTTTTTACATTGCCCTCAACCAGGCAGGTCTGTCAAATCAGATCTTAAATTGGGAAGTGGATCGGCTTTCATTCTCATTAAGGGAACCGGTTCTTTAAACATGCACAACCTGGAGTTTCCAGGATGGTCTCCTCCCTCTCTTTAAATGTCGTGGACGAGAAAGATGCCCACTTTGCTAGAAACTCTACGTCAATGTCCCGGGAGCCCAGAGGCTCTTCAGCCTCCTCATGGAGACTTAAAGGATGGCGCAGAAGAACTTCTTCTCCCTAAACGGGTTTTCTGAGGCCGGAACAGGAGTGAGCAGGGGGTCTTCCTTGGCATGCGCCTCACAGTAGGCCATCAAATCTGCAGCTGCCTTGGAGACCTGGAAGGGAAGACAGAAACAACCAGTCTGGTGCAGTCATTCGAGGCCCAAGCTTTGGGCTCCATTAACCGGGCAACCAAGGCCCACCTCTTGTGTAAATGTGAAGCGAGCCACTCAGCCTCTATAAGCAGACAAGGGAGTTGGCGATACTGACCTCATAGGATTGCTGCTAGCAGGTCTAGAACTAGGGTAAGATGCCTGAGGCACTGAGGTCCCAAACCAAGGGAACCAGTTAAGGTCAGGGTCATGCAAGTGTCAACCCTACTCTTATACATACCTGAGAGAACAAATCCCACTCCAACTTTGTGCCCCAGTTATCTCACTTGCCCTACCTGAGTCATAGCTGGGTTGCAAGGATTAAATAAGTGAGAAAATCCATGCAAACCATTTAGGGCCTGGCATACAGCAAGCTTTCCCTACAGGTCAGCCATTATTAATCATCCTGAAGCTATGTATCTAGTCAGGAAGTGTGCAAGCAATGCCTAAAGCCAGGTGACTATTTCCCCTTTAAACACACCAGGAGACACAGGTATACACTCACACACAAACAGAACCTTATATACTGCAATATATATATATATATATATATGCATATTATACCATTAACTACATAACTCCAACCACACATTGTACCTTCTAGGGATGTGTCACTGGGAAGTTGTTATTGATTTTGGTGATACTGTCATCTCCCAGAACATTTCTGTGCTCATTAAGAGTATTTTTTTAGTGGCACTGGGGTTTGAACTCAGGGCCTCACACTTGCTAGGCAGGTGCTTTACCATGTGAGCCACTCCGCCAGCTCTTCTGTTACTCATTAGGAATTGCCAGGTAGTACTTATCGGTGACAAATTCTCACTATTTGAGTGGGTGGATTGAATTTTGAAAATAAACTAACATCTGGGAATGAAGTAGATGATCAACCAGAAGAATGCCATTAGGAATAAAAAACATAAAGAGTCAAGTTCTTATACAACATAGAGCACTAAAGATCACTCCAAAAGACTTTTCCACGCAAAAGCAGTATCACCCTACAACTGTGAAAGGTTCTCAAAGTAATACTGACAGCAAAATCCTCTGTAAGAGTTGAGTAGATCATATTGTTGCCACAAATATTTCCTGCCTATCTCTGATGAAGTACATACACCCACACAATGACACCAGAAGTGGCCATGTCACACATGACCTGCTCTTGCCAATGAGATGTGATAGGGATGAATCACTTTGGGGTAGAAGAACCAATGTCCTGCACTTTTCCCTCTGCCACTTTGTCCAACTGATGTAACTACTAGGGATACCCTTCATTGCTTCAGAGGTTTCCACAAATCAACAGTGGCCACACCCTGATTTGTTCCTTGCCCCAGTGCTAAGTGGATTAGAGCTCTGTCACTGAAAGGCACCTCTGTTTTATGATTAAATGGTTGGACATGAAAATCAGAATCATCTTCTTGACCCATAAACCCTCGAGTTTTTTGCATTCTCTGTTCCTTTTGTCACAGACTAGATAGAAGCACTATTCCATATAGCAGCTGTACTGCATGCCATGGTTCTTCATGACTGTGACACAGTGTCAAGTGGCAGCTGACTATGATCTGATTATGTAAGATGTCATAGTAGGTCTATAATCATAAACCTACTTTATCTCAGACATTAACTTTTCTCTTTGCTGTATGACAGAAGTGAGATGTGTATCTTTGCGTTGTAAGCCCCAAAGAATGGGGAGAAGGGACTTTTTTTTAACTACCACAAAGATTAGCCTACCTTGATTGATTTGAAGAAGTATAAATACTGAGATATATATATATATAGTTTCCTGTGGCTGCTTTGGAAAATCACCACAAACTGGAGAGCTTATACTGGGGATTAGACTCAGGGTCTGAGCTACGTCCCTAGTCTTTAGTTTTTAGTTTTTCGGGTAGGGTCTTATGCTTTTGCCTGGGCCAGCCTTGGACAGAGATCACCGTGCCTCTTGCCTCCTGTGAAGGCTGGGATTATAAACATGAAACACCAAGCCTGCTTTCTGCCTCTGTCTTCATATGGCATTGTCTTCTCTATCTGCATCTAAGTTTCCCATCTTGCTAGTCACCATTTTATGGTCCACCCTAATAAAGCTGGACTTTCTCTTAACTTGCTTACATCTACGAACACCCTATTTCCAAATAAGGTCATATTCTCAGATTCCAGGTGGGCACAAAGCTTAGGGGACAGTATTCCATCTAGCACAGTTTTTTGCAGAAATCAATCTTGCTCTTTAATAGACATTTCAGTACTCATAAAATATTTTTATTGTGCTCTTATTTTGTTTCAGGCAGTCAAATTTTTCTCTTTTATCTTCACAACAATCTTGAAGTAGGAATAATTATCTGCCTTTTATAGCTGAAAAACTTGAGGCTCGGCAGATTACATCAGTTGTTCAATGTCATATAGCAAAACATGAAGTAGAAAAAGAACTTGAACGCTGATATTCTTCAAACATTAAGCCTCAGTCATCCATATATAAATTACCCAAATGTGCAGTTAGTTCCAAAGGTTAAAATTGAAATTATTCATGCATCTTTGTTAAATATTAGATGACAAAATTAAAGGAAACAGCCTGATCTTGTCTTAGCTCACCAAATGAAAGCATAGATGAGATCTTCAGGCTGAATTGCCTTTTACTTATTTGAGCAATAGGCATTATTGTACTAAATAGAATCTTAGTCATTAAGCAGCAGAGACTGTACAGCAGTAATATTTACAGTTACACACACACACACACACACACACACACACACACACACCAGAAACAAAAACATGCAGTAATACTGAGAACTCACTTGTTAGGAAGACATCCAGCACCATCCATCCCTTCTTATTTGCAATGCTCATGTACAAACATGTGACATAAATTTCCTGAATCCCTTTTTATGGCCAGAAATGTTATTCTGGGCAAAATTAATATCTTAAGAGTTGCTCACATTTAAACAATTAGTTCTGAATAGTTTCCTTCTCAAAATGTATTATGTGTTTATCTTGCTTCTGTGGATGATCCAACACGACGTCAGAATCCTAGTAGTAACTGGAATAATTGCTAATATTTGTTGTCCTTGCTATGTGTCAGAAATGCAAAAGCCACTTTACATGTAGCATCATAGTTAATTTATACAACAACCGTATGTGTCATAAGCAATCATTCTTCTTATCTCAGAGGCTTTAGTAGATAAGTGTTTGCTTCAGGTATCAGCTTATCAACCGTGAGACTCAGTGTTCTGTTTCAATCTCTGTGAATGTTCCTCCTTTCTAACCCATGGCTGTCCTGTTTGCCCCTTACCTTACAGTAAGTCACAGCAATATTCTGCCTTGAAGATCTCTTGCTTTTAACCTCTGTTAGCATTCTGCACACAGCTTCTTTTATATTCCTAGGCCGAGTTTTCACATGAAGATTTCCCCAAAACTCTAGAACATCTCTTCCTGTTCTGTCCTGTTGACTCACCCTCCAAAAATATCTCACATTTGGCTCCCTTACTGGCATCTCTATTGCAACTACCCAAGTTCAGCCTTCTATTGTCTCTCTCCATGACTACTGGAATAATGGTTTTTAATTGGGTTCCTCAAGGGATCCATGGGTAGAATTTAGAGGGTGGTCTGCGAATTTTGATGATAAAATTGACATCATTATTTTCATTACCTCAAATGGAAATTCATCATTTCCTTTCACTATAAATATTGACAACCTTCTCTAGAGGCACAAGCGGTACGGGTGACTTAATCAACCAATAGAAATCAGATATTTTTAATCATACTATTATTGTCTCCACATTGTAAAATTATATTTATGTTCATCTACTTTGTGATTTTAGAGCTACTGTTAGGTCTTATGTAATCAGTAATAAAGAAGTACATATATAATTATATCACATATTTTATAAATGTATTGACTTAAATATTTGAAAAACATTTTTTTGAAAAACATTCGATATTACTTTAAATATTCCGAAATCTTTTAACAAAAATAGTCAGATACTCTATATTTCAACATAATTGGTTTCCTTTGTAATTTAACAACACTACTCTGAGAAAGGAACCATAGACTTCAGCTGACAGTCAAGTGGGCCAAGGACGCAAGAAAGTTCTGAGTGACTTTCTTCCTTTCACAACTGTGTGAGGAGTTATCTTTCACTTAGCTAGAAAGATAGTTTAAACATATCACCTGGCACACATCAGTCCCCTATTAAACACCTTCAATAGTTTCCTATTACCTTTGCAGAAACCAAAATATAAAATAGCCATGGCTCATGCATGCTTTGGGCCTGTCTAGTCTCCAGTTTCATTTTGCAGCGTTCTTCCCTCTCCAGGTCTCTTAATTTTGAAGAGATCCACATTCTTTTCTGCCTTGGAGTTCCATTTATACAATTCTCTGAACCTTCTTCTTCCTATCTCCTTGATAGGCTGGCCCCCACTCTTCCTCCAGGGGTTAGCAAAATATTGCCCCTTGCAGAGCCTCACTGATCAGCTCAGCCAAAATGACTCTCCTCATTCTTCTTTCTCTGAGCACCTCATTCTATGACTTTGCACGATTATAATAATGAGCATTGTTGATTTGCTATTTAATATTTGCTATTCCCTTCAGGCACTAGGCTCTGCAAAGGTAGGAAGCTTATCCTACCTTTTATTTCCCACCATGTAATCATACCTGACACATAGCAGAGGCTCAAGTAACTGTTGAGGGAGTGCTCAAAAATAATCTTTTCAAGAAATATTCCACTTGACTAATATTTACTGAGTGCCTACCATGCCAGGTATAGTTCTGCATGCTTGGAATAATCAGAGACCAAAATATAGAAAGATGTCTATTCTTATAGAGTTCATAGAAAATTTCCAATTCTGCCTGTGGATGGAGTAACAGGGAGCAATTAAATCCTCCTGCCTTAAATTAAACTGGACAGAATAGATGAAGAAATGTTTAAGTGTTAGACCACAGGCATCTTAGGATGGGAATCTCTGAGGTGAGCTGTACCATGCAT